CTCCGAAGTGGTGACAATTTGCGCATCGCGTTAATTCCATTAATTTACGCCTAATTGTTATGGCCGCCCGAAGTGCAATCAACGGACGGGCCCGTCGGGCAAGTGTTTTGTTCCCGAAAAAAATAATAAAAAAAACAAAAAATATACCATAATACCCAGCACGCACACGAAAGCCGAAAACAATTTTTGCACAACCCACAGACAGTCAGAGGAGCTGCCCCCTTAGGGCAAGAGTCCGGTGGTGACGCGTTTAACGAACAGGCCAAAGCCAGCGAGTCCTGCCGTCCTGCCATTCGCAGGACCCTCGTGCGGTTGCCCGGCTGTCAGCCGAGTAAGTGCCACCTGCCAACTGCCACCTGGCCGGCCATTTTGCAGTTCAATAACCCATTTCCTCTGCGGCGATTGAAACGAAAAAAATGCTCGGCACAAAGAATTTCCAGTTAGAGTTTGCGTTCAAGCAGCCAATCCACAAAATGGCAAACAATTTGCTTTTATGGCAAAACAAAAAACAGAGTATATCCTTGAGCCAGGACACTGTTTTTTTTTTTGTTTTTGTTGGCCTGCTACAAGTCGATTTCCGCCTGCTCTTTTCTTTTTCGTTTCGGATTTGTGTCACTCGATAAGTTGTTTAGTTGTTGCCGGCGATAATTTGTTGACGGAAGCAGACGCTCGCCTCAATTCAATAAGTTACTTCGCTCGATTCAATTATGATCCGTCAGAGGTCGGTTGAACTAATCGCTGACTGGCACTGGATTTCACAAAGTGGTTATTTTATTTCGTAGATTAGATCATTGATTTGGCACAACTTCGTATATGTATATAACATGTGGCTTTGGCTTAAGCGCACAACAATTAAATGGTGCCTGCGGTCATTTCTATACAAAACAAGAGAGAACGCTATAGTCGGTTTGGTGTCCCGACTATCTAATACCCGTCAATCAGCTAAAGGGAGTGCGAACGCTGTACTCGGGTTGGTGTCCCGACTATCTAATAATCGTAACTCAGCTAAAGGGAGTGCGAGGGAGATATTTATATAAACAACTTTGATTGCGTAAAACTTTTTAATGAGTGGTCCGATTTAAAAAATGTCTTCTACATTTCGATGGGTATAAATATACACAACAGAATTGCATTTATTCTTTTCGGAAATCTTTAAAGGTGTGGGCGCCAGACACATTTTAAAGACGTTAGTGGGCGATTGTGAGCATTAAAGGGGGCGTGGCGCTCGGAATATATATACTTTATACCCAGCGGCGAACAGGCGAATGGGGTCTGGAGAAAAAATGCATTACATGTAAAGAAAATGTAACCGATTACTATCGCTGCTTTTCGTTAGAGAAGTTGTAATCAGGGCTCCTATGACTTCGTTTTTTCGTTCGCTAACGATTTCCCTTCGTCAAAAATCACAAACACACATAAAAATTATTGTCTATGTGTTCGTTTTTCGTTTCCCCTCCCTCACGTTTGAGCTTCGGAACTTTAATAATAACAGCATGCATTCTAAATATAGTTTGACGAACTAAAAAAAGCACAGACAATGGCCGAGCGGTTAGCCTTTCCATCCATTATACAATAATACCCATGTTCAATTCCTACATGAGGAAAGAATATTTTTTGTTTTCATAAATGAACATGCATTACAACTCAGCATACGTTTTTCAAATTGTATGTTGAATTTTCTCTAGTCCGTCTACATTTTGCATTACAATTTCGGAAAAGTATATTGAATTCGTAATGGAGACCCGAAGGTGATTCGGCCCTAGCATACTTTTCCCATTACTAGTAATGCAAATTGTCTCCCGACCACATTACAAGGCGGCCATGCCTATGGCAAAGTAATCCATGTTGTAATCCATTGTTTCTCTATTACGAGAGGAGAAGTAATGCATTCGTAATCCATTTTGTAATGGCAATTTTCGCCGCTGGGTAGTGTCGGAAACGCTTACTTCTCCCTGTTACATACTTTTGCACGAATACAATATACCCTTTTACTCAACGAGTAACGGGTATAAAAACCATAAGTCAAACGAAACTAGCAGGAAAGTAAGAAAGAATATATTTTAAAGTAGACCTTTGCTGTACGGCGAATGGTCATCATTTGTGAGCTAGTACTTACACTCAGCGTCCAGGAAACGGCTCCATGGCTTTCTAGATTAATAGTTGGATAATTTTCTTACTCTTAACTTCCGACAGCATCCCAAATTAAGAAATTTGAATTACTCTTATCATGAGTTTCAAAAAAGCTAAAGCCTTATCAAGTGACTCGCGCGGAGAATTTGACATGCCTTAGAAATTTATTTTAAGATAAATTGTGTGGAGCACAGCACCCTTATAAGGTTTGCGTTACATAACGTCATTGTCGTTTTTAGGTTGATTAACATTGATAAAAAGAGCTCGTTATAATTAAAATTTGTAAAAGTGGTTCTTATTTAAATGTAGATCTAGGCCAGCAGACCAGCTACTCCGAAGAAGAGGAGAATAACTCCGACCATGGGTCCCAGGGAGGAGGATCCGTTGCACTTGTCTCCGAGGCAGATGTCACAGCTCAGATCGGCAACAGCTTTTAGCAAAGGCGAGTGGCAGACAATATTCTTTTCCTCGGTGTCCCCGAAATAGCAGTCTTTAGCTGCCAATTAACTAAAAATGGAGCACAATTGGTTTGGAATGTGATTAGATACTGAATAAATTTAATGATCTCACTATAACTGCTTATATGATATAAAAACAAGAGAAAACGCTATAGTCGGGTGCCCCGACTATCAGGTATGTTGTAATCCATTGTTTCTCTATTACGAGAGGAGAAGTAATGCATTCGTAATCCATTTTGTAATGGCAATTTTCGCCGCTGGGTAGTGTCGGAAACGCTTACTTCTCCCTGTTACATACTTTTGCACGAATACAATATACCCTTTTACTCAACGAGTAACGGGTATAAAAACCATAAGTCAAACGAAACTAGCAGGAAAGTAAGAAAGAATATATTTTAAAGTAGACCTTTGCTGTACGGCGAATGGTCATCATTTGTGAGCTAGTACTTACACTCAGCTTCCAGGAAACGGCTTCATGGCTTTTGACTTCGACAGCTTTCTAGAATAATTGAATGTACACTCATAAAAATTAATTTCAAAAACGGCCTACCTTTGGAAATAGAAAAAAAGTTATTGTTATGAAAAAATTTGCCTTTGATCATAGAAATCCTTTCTAGATGGAACAAATTAAAAAAACAATTTTTTTTGAAATTAGAAAAATTTAATCTCATATGTTTTTTTTTTGCCGTCGCAGCAAAAATATTTTCTTCATGCCTTTCAAAAATACCATTTCTTGAAACAAAAGTGAGGTCGCCTTTGGCAAAAATTCAATAATGACTTTTCTAGATTTTAAGTAAATTTTTCGATTTTTTTTATGAGTGTATGATTATTTTCGTACTCGCACACTCGCGATTTCTTTCCAGATTAATAAATTTGAACTACTCTTATCGTGTTTTTTTTTCGTAAGTGGAGTTTTGACTCCAACAGCTTTCTGGAATACAGCACTGGACAAAAAAATTGACTTTATTAAAAGGTGGAAATTAAATTATGTTAATATAGAAGTATGTATATAAGCATATCTGCATACTTCGTTTTTGATTTTAAAGGGTGGTATTTGTGCTATCACGGTTTGAAAAAAATAGCAACATTTAATGTTTTGATTTAAGATTTCTTCGAGAGTCGGTATTCAATTTTATTGATACCTACGTATGCCAAAAATTTGATAAGATGCCCTTCTACCGAATTACATTTAAGGTTCCATTATAACTTGAGTTAATCAAAGCTTATGGGCCATTTCAGTAATTTGTTCACCTTTATTTACAACCAACTTGATGCGGTGACCAGGCATAACAAATATAAAGAAAAATAGGTGCCTCAAAATCTTGTAAAGGCATCTAGGGGCGTCTTTGCCCAATTTTTTGAGATAAATACCACCACCATTGTTCGTCAAAGGATGCAATTTTTTTCTTGAAAGCGTGAAAAAAATATAACAACGTTTATGCCACACATTTTATTCACTCTCAGCTGATGAATATGCCGGACCAAAAAAACTGATGTGACTGGAGTCACACTAATTACTTTTGAACAAACATTTTGGATAAAGTGCAATTACTCTCTTGGAATTAATACAAAAGAACAGAAACAAGAAAGGAAGCTAGCTTCGGCCAGCCGAAGCTTATATACCCTTGCAGATCATTCCTATTAATTTACAAATCGCAAAAATGTTTAATTTCCTATTATTTCTCATTAATTTTCCGATCGTTCCTATGGCAGCTAAATGATAAAGTAGTTCCATTGACAAAATTAAAATCGAAATTCGGAAATATTTTAAAAGAGTCATATCCCAGAGTAGAAGAGAATACAATAAAAACCAACGAAGCAATGATTTTGTTTTCATTTGTTTGCAATTCATTTTCAGACCGTTCCTATGGCAGCTATATGATATAGTGTTCCGATTTTTTCTAAATTCAATTCAAAAGTATTTAATAAATAATAATCCCAAAAGTGGAAGGTATAATTTAAAAAAAACACCGAAGCTAGAATTTTTTTTACGTTTTTTTTTCGATCTTTCCTATGGGAGCTATAAGATAGCACCGGCCCGATCCGGCCGGTTCCGACTTATATACCTGGAATAGAAAGTAGCCTTTTGGGAAAGTTTCATTCCGATAGCTTAAAAACTGAGAGACTACTTTGCGTAGTTTTGGCTGAAATCGCGAAATAAAAGCGTGAATTCGGCATCGCATAAGCACAGTAACAGTATATATTAACTGAATTTAATGCCCATAAAACTGCACCAAAAACACTGTCGAGAAGTGTAATAGTTGGATAATTTTCTTACCCTCGATTTCCGACTGCTTCCCAGATTAATAAATTTAAATTACTCTTATCATGAACGTCAATAAAAAGCTAAAGCCTTATCAAGTAACTCGCGCAGGAAAACCATCTGTGGAATGAAGTACAGTATATCGTATGTGCCGTATTTGATATGCCTTAGAATTTTATTTTAAGATAAATTGTGTGGAGCACAGCACCCTTATAAGGTTTGCGTTACATAACGTCATTGTCGTTTTTAGGTTGATTAACATGGATAAAAAGATCTCGTAATAATTAAAATTTGTAAAAGTAATTCTTATTTTAATGTAGATCTAGGCCAGCAGACCAGCTACTCCGAAGAAGAGGAGAATAACTCCGACCATGGGGCCCAGGGAGGAGGATCCGTTGCACTTGTCTCCGAGGCAGATGTCACAGCTCAGATCGGCAACAGCTTGTAGAAAAGGCGAGTGGCAGACAATATTCTTTTCCTCGGTGTCCCCGAAATAGCAGTCTTTAGCTGCCAAGTTTTTATCGTTAACTAAAAATGGAGCACAATTGGTTTGGAATGTGATTAGATACTGAATAAATTTAATGATCTCATGTGATAGAAAAACAAGAGAAAACGCTATAGTCGGGTGCCCCGACTATCAGGTACCCGTTACTCAGCTAAAGGGAGTGCGAGTTAGATGGAGTATTTATTTAACGAAAAGTCCAATTGTAAGTCCGATTTTTTTCATACTTTCTGTATTAAAATCCATAGCCAACCTAGATTGTTTTTCTCGTGGCTAACAGTAGTACTTACCAACGAATGAATATTTTATGCAAGCGGTGGCAGCGGTTTCGCATTTTACAACGTGCTCATCATTCACTCCGCAGTTTTCAGGACCAAATACATCATTGCACTGATGACACCTAATGGCATACCCTGCAAGTCGATACTATGTTGATTATTTCTGTAGATTAATTTTAGGAGATCACGTACCCAAAGAGGACAACGTGGCCAGCAGGCTGAGAGCTAACATCAGTTTTACACTCAACATCATTTTCGCGTTTGACTCTATTTTGAAGTAGACCTTTGCTGTACGGCGGTTGGCTAGCGTTTGTGAGCTAGTACTTACACTCAGCTTCCAGGAAACGGCTCCATAGCATTGGAATTTAAAATTTTGGATAATTTTCTGACTCATGACTTCCGATTGTTTCCCAGATTAAAAAATATTAACTACTCTTATCATGTTTTGTTTTTCGTAAATATTTCTTAACTTTCTGATACCAAATAGAGTTTGTATGTGTCATTTGAAACGGAAGCAGACGTTCCGCTTGATTAAATTATGATCCGTCAGAGGTCGGTTGTACTAATCGCTGACTGCCACTGTATTCAACAAAGTGGTTATTTTATTTTGCAAATTAGATCATTGATTTGTCACAACATACAATTACATAGAAGCGTATAGTGAGTTTTGGCCTAAGTGCACAATAATTAAATGCAGCCTGCGGTCATTTGTATATAAAGAAAACCTTAGACCGAACGAAATTTGCAGGAAAATAAGAAAGAAAAAGAATACAAAAATTTTTCTCATCCAATTAGCTAGGTGACCCCAAGCACTTTGTGTAAAGTTAAACTTCATAAAAGGTCAGTGGTAAGCTTCATTTATACGTTTGAGGTTTAAGGAAAATAAGAAAAATTTAAAGAAAAAATGTTTAAGGTGTCAATGGAATGCCTTGCAGACACCTTTTAAATTGAAACAAGTCCAAGAAACAAGAAACAAATAAATTTTAGATCTAGAAAAGCCCAAAAAGAATGTCATCTAGATGTTGCATTGCGGAACAAATAGATGACAGGAGCGCCATTAAAACTCATTTGGAGGACATTAACCGGAAGTTTACTGCCAGAAAAGGCACAAAGGACGCAGCTCTGTCTATTGTTTGCCAGTGTGTTTGCGATGCACAGATTTATGACTTCCCCATAAATCGCTCTTGGGAACGAGGGACGGGACTCGGTTGTGGGAAAATGTCGAGAGCAGATGGACCTCGCCCACCTGTGCGCCGATTTCATGTTTTTATGACAGTATTCTCTGGTGGGCATTTAAATCTTGGTCGTGTGCCCGATGGCCTTTCATAAAATTCATTTAATTTATTTTTCGCCAAACTTTAATCCCATATACTTTATTTAAAGCTAGCAATGGAGTGTGCCAGATTGTGTGGCACATTAAGAAATATTTCAATGAAAACATTTTCGGGCATGCCATTTATTTATTCCTTTCAGCTCGCCATCTATCATATTCCCTTGGCCCTGCCTAGAATATTGCATTAAACTCAAGTCCACATGACCTCACATTCATTCATTTTCATTCATCCAAAAATGCCACAAGATTTTATTCAATAAAAGTAAGTGCGTAGTTCTTAAATGCTTGAATTTAAGGCATACTTCCTGGAAATTATTTTAGCCATTCGAATTGTTTGTGGCTTAAATTGTAATACGCAATGCTGTGGCCGAATATCTCATTTATTTATTGAGTGGAGGGAGGTATTCTCTTTCTCAGCTTGGATCAAGCAGAGCCTTTTCAAAAGTCGGTCAATCGTCTGGGCTGGCGTGTCCTGGAATTATTCTTCAAAAGCCCAGGCCCACGCCCACCCACTTGCTCACCCGCCCACCCGTGGCCACTCGAGTGGTTTTTGAATGCGAAATGACTGAGCAACAACCTCCCGGGCTTTCCTAAATGTCAGTCGACAATTGAGCGGGAAGAGTTTTTTGCCACTGACAGCAGCAAGATAAACAGAGGCCCTGCCTCGGTTAAGCTGTTACACGGTGCAAAATTTTACCCCTGATATGGGATACCAAAATGGTATTTTTATTACCTATCAAAATGTAGAAGACATTTTTTTATAGCGTTCTCTCTTGTTTTACTATCTTTTTCCGACTGATCCCCAGATTAATCATCATCTATCTCATAAGTTTAGAAGCTCTGGGCATTGGTGAATTTTTTTGCCAAGCTAGAAGGTTTTATAAAAAATTATAGAATAATAATGACGGTCCTAAGTTGAAAGTGTATCTGTTGAGTTTTATTATATTTTTTTCCAAGTGTAACTGCTTGCTGCTGGCTACCGAATACCGGGATGGCATTAAACAGTTGCATGCCGCTCAACGTGGCCCGTATCGCTTTCGCGAGTTTTTGTCGCAGTTCTGCCAAAACGAAAATTACACAGCCAGGCGAGCCACGCCCACTCCCACTCCCACTCCCACTCCCACCCACGTTTACTCCTACACCCCACACTTCCGGTTCGATGTGCAGTTAGGCAAGGTTCTGGCCATCCTTGTTGCCGGGGCAATGGCACAAAAAATGCGGCAATCTCAAAGTTGGCAGTTGCGGCTTTTTGTGTTTCGCTGGCGAAAGCATGACAGGCCTGCAAGTATGCTTCAGTTTTTGCGCAGCAATGAGAGGAACAATACGACCTGCGGCGGCAGCAGCATTCAAGTGGGTAGCCAGTTTCCACGTAAATGAAGTTGTTGCCAACCAGTTGTTGCCGAAAACAAAGCAACTGCTCGTTGTGTTGGCCACGTGAAACGACTGGTAATAAGTTTTCTCCATAAATCAATTGGCAGGCCGACAAAAGTTGGCAATTAAGCGCAGTTTATCAAAGTTATTCCGAGCGCATTGGGGTAATTTGTAATTTCTGAATAACTAATAAGTAGTTTTTGCCAGGATTGCAGTGAAAAGAAAAATATAACTAGCTACAAACTTAAGTTTGAAAAAGTACAGAATCAAGGTTTTTTTTTGTAAACACCGATTACATAAAAATACCAAGTTGATGTAGTGATTGAAAAAATCCCAAGTTCCCAGGCACCCACGCGGTCTCGGCCAATGACGCAAATCACCCAAAGATGTCTGGCCGAAGAAGCCACGTGGCCAGCCTGAGAGCAACAGTGAATTGGTAAACTTATCACGCAATTAGAGGCCCCACACCTGGCCATAATTTATGGCCGAGCACAGAAAGGTAGGCAACGCAAAAATTAAAAGCATGGCCGGAAAAAAAGGAGGAATCGTCAGAGAAAACAACAGCATTATGCACGGCTGCGGCGTGGAAACTTGAAAAATGATGTGTACGTTTTGATGCTGCGACCTCCGGAGTGCCTTTATTGTTTTTTTCGGGAACTTTGCACTTTTCCGTGGCCAATACACAACGGCAACCACTGAGGCTCGGCTCGGATAAGATTAATGCGTTACAATAAAAGATGATTTGTTTTTTGGCTCCTGCCTGTTAACAACAATGCCCGGCGGTGTGAAAAGTCAACAACTGGCATAGAAAAGCCGTCAGCATCGCATTTCCCAGGCGTCCTGCTCCAGGTGTACGGTGTTCGGTGTTCGGTGTACACCCATGCGTATACGTGTTATGGGGCTTAGTGTGCTGCATGCAAATTGGCTTTCTTGTGGTTTCGATGATTGGTCTTTAGGCTCCAGGAGTTGAGGCCCGAAAAACAGGCCTGGCATAAAGCCGGAACGAAATTGAGCCATTTTGTGTGAACGAGCTGGGCAAATAAGGCAATAAATAACCCGGAACCGAAAGTGGATCTGTGGAGCTGCGGCTGTGAGCCTCTAGCGCTCCCCTCTTAAATGTCACTTATGGGCTTTACTCAACGCCCTGGCTTTATTGCCTCAAAAGGGGAATCAAGTGTCATACACAAGTATTGGCTTTGATATAATTGGCTTTCGGTGTGTGTTTGTATTTACCAAAATAATGATTCAACTTAAAGCAGCTCGAATGTTATTAGGGCTTCTGCAAACTAACAGGGGATAAATTGCTTCAATTTAGTTTTGTCATCTACGAGCTAAAACGGTCAACTGCTGATGCGTAGAAGATTCTGGAGGCCAACAAAAAAAGGGCTCGTTTATATGGCTGCTCCGCCATGTTTTCCGATGACTCATCGGAATTATAACTCGAAATGTCGCCATATCAACAGGTTGCCGGATGGATGACGAAATTCAAGACAAAACGAAGGATGGCTGGGCACTTGCGTCATCATTTCCCTGGCTGGGCTCCCTTTGCTCAGCTTCAATAATAATCTGCAGTGCTCATAAATGGTGAATCCCCATGAATCGAGCAAATAGATAAAACGGTCTGGTCTGTCCCTCGATGGCTGCCTCGTGTCGCGGCAGACATTTATGCAAATGGGCGTCTTGTGCTCTATGAATAGCACGGCTGCGGAGCCTCTGCCGAGGACAATACATTCAATTATCAAGGACTGCGCCAGGACAGGCCTTGGTTCTCAGAATACTTTCCTCTTTTACAGACATCGGCTGTTTACTGAAATGACTTTGGTTCTGGTGGTGCAACTGCTGGGATTGTGACAGCCGCACTCGAAGTCCTTGCTGTGTTAACACCAATTACAGGCTATGACAGGGTGAAGCTGGAACAAGTAGTTCCGCCGCCCCAACTTGGGTCACAGATTTCTGTCTGCTTCCAACTCAATTTATGAAAACATCCCCATCCCGCCAAAAAAAAAAAGAAGACCCATTTCTGCTGCCTTGGCGTCAATGGTCTATGCGTAAATTGCACGCCGAAGAAGGGAATTTCTGGCTGATAAGGGATCAGGCGAATAAACTGGAGCAAATTGATGACAGACCAACTGGCGGCAGGCAGCCGATAAGTCGCTTAATGTTGGCCTGCAGTATTTATGGCATATTCGACGGCTTTCAATCGGGATCCCAGGCTTAGCACTCCAAGGCTGTTGGATTATTACGTCTTCTTAAAGTGAACCCTCTATTCGATTTGAACCCAAAAAGGCAAAAAAATTCAAGGTTTAAAGTGATTTCGTTTGAGTTTTTAGTAGTATTGAGTAGTTCTGTTACAATAATTAAGCAAAAATATTATTTGACCTATTTTTTTATAGGGGGTTAGGTTTTTTTTCCACAATAACCCAAAATTGAAGCTTTGAAAATTATATTACACGCTCATGTTAGGCAACTATCTTTATAATGGAGAGACATTGACTCCTCTTAAGATGCCTCGTTCAGTAAGTTTGCCCACTTTATATATCTTATGTTATAACACCCCCTAAAAGGGTATAACCAGACCCATCCAACCGGCCAAAGTCGATCTCCAGGCGTGATATGAGTTTTTTTCCGCCTCTGGTTGGCTGGTGCCCCGAGGCGCCGCCTGTGCTCGTAAATGTTTTGGTCATTAGCCATGGCGTGAAAACCAATAAACGCGACGGGCCTAAAGAAATAAAGAGGGACCAGGCTCACAAAAATTGCAATCAAATCAAAAACTACAAAACAAAAGCAAAATGCCTTTATGATATGGCCATAAAAGGCGACCACGCTGTCCCAACAATGGGCCAATTTGCGGCGCTCAATAAAAATAATAAAAATGTTGCAACTTTTGTTAAAGCCAACCATTTTGGCCACACTCTGTTTGTGTAAGCTCTTTAGTCACTTGTTTGTTCGTCCGTTTGCCTGTCTCTGTCTCATATTTTTTTCCGTTGCGGCACGTTTATGAGTTATTATCGACGGGCAGGGGCAGTGAGTGCTGTTCAATGGGCTTGTGGTTTGATGGCCAGCTGCCACGCCCACTCCGCACATAGCTGGCATTCCGGGGGGCGGCTTTAATAACAAACCTTTGATTTATCGTGAATTTAATGTGGTTTTGTCTCGCTATCTGTCTGCACGGGTGCGTTCTTCGGTGGTTGAATTATTATTGATGATTTGGCCCCAGCCTTTGGTCAGTAGCAGCGCGATGTGACAGGTGTAAAGGTATTGCCAAAACGTTGACAAACCATAAATCATTTAGCCGAACCCAAGGGGAAGGGGAGCCTGTCAAAAACTGTGGGTTTATTTTAACGTAATTCAATATTCCTTCATCGAATTTCACATTTCCCCAAACTTTTTAATATATTCAATAACATCCAGCCATCGGTTCAATTCAATGGCTACCCAAAAGTGTTTTCCAATGAATTTCCCTCGTAAATGCGTGGGCCACAAATATTAAATATAAAAGTTTGCTGCCATTTAATTCAGTTCTCGGCCGGGCTTTTCACACTTCAGAGCGCCGTGCACTCATATAACTTCTCACATCGCACATACGCCCCATTGCCCATTACGCATTCGCCCAGTGGTAATCATTTCTGTAAACTGTTTTCGATCCCCGCCCCGTGCGGTCACCATCACTCCAGTCCCTCCATTCCGGGCACGTAGGAGGAGAAACCTTTTCGTCCTTTCGTGGCAGCCACACCACACAAGCAAACCAATCCCCGTCCGGGGAGCGGAATACAAATGGCTGTCCTGGGCAACTTGACTTGACTTGTCTGTCAGGCGGCAAAACAAATGGAGGAGCCCCCGGGCCGCAGGGAAACTATTTATATGCTGCCCCAGGCGTGGTCAGGAGTCGGGAGAGCTTCGCAGTCCGACTAGATGGATGGATCTTTGACGGTTGTCCATCGCGTTTATTGGCAACATATTCGAGCGCATTGTCTGCATCTGCGGTAAGTCGTCGCCTTGATTAATCGACATGCGGACATTGAATTTTTGCAGCGCCAGCAAAAGGAATCTCGGCCAAACACTGCTGGCATAATTCCACGTGCCTGTCGCGTTCCAAAGTTTCTCTCGCCTAATTGGCACAAACTTTCTTCAAGGAATTACACTTGTAAAAATAATTATTATAAAAAATATTTTTGAAAAAAATATCATCTGAAACTTTGTCCATAAACCAAACTTCAAGAGGATTTATATTTATAAGAAATAAAGAAGTTTACTGGAGTTTGAGTAACCTTTTTCTAAGACGCAGTAATGATTTATAAAAACCCTTTAATGCACAGATTGAAAATATTACTTAATATTTATGCTGTAAATTTATATAATTTTCTAAAACCGCAGAAAGGTTTCTTATAGAAAAATGTAAGAAAATAACTTAACTTAAATATAAATTCAGGCATTTCTTTGCTCTTTCGGATAAAAACTATTGACTGAGTTCTACATGGAATGTCTAAATTTCTGATGAGTGTAGGAACACCCACATACGACGCACCGCGCTATCTCAGCTGGGAAACGCACGGATGGGCAAACAGAATGCCCCGACCCCAGCTAGACGACTCCATTACCTCCGTGGCTAGTCCTCCACCTCTCCTCACTCCTGCGAGTAATGTTGTTGCTTGTGTTGCTAAATGCTAACGATGACGAGGGAACCAAGGAGCAGAGAACGAGGACTGGGAAACGGGAATGCGTCACAGGACGATGATGATAATGGCCTCGTTGCCATTACTTTGTTTAGCTGCCTGCTGGCGCAGCTCCTTCTGGGCCGTGTGGCTGTTGTTGTTTCTAGCTTGTTGGCTTAATTGATTTAGTTGAAGCTGCACAGAGTTTAATAGTTGCTCATCATTTATGTGGCGCCCGAGCAGGCCACAAGGAGCTCCTTGCCTCGTTCAGTTTATTTGGCGTGGCGTTTAATTTTCTCCAGCACTGTGATACACATTTCGACGCGCTGGAAGTGGAAACCGGTTGGGGAAATACTCGTATCTACGACCCATTGCCATTACCGGCGTCGCATGCAATCGGGTCGGGCTATTGAGTCAACTTAGAGCCAACTCAGAATCAACATAGAGCCAACCAGGCTGGTCAACAATGGTCAACCTCCCTGCGAAGCTCGAATTGCCAACTGACGCCTCAGCGCCATGAATGGCGTTTTATCTAATCCGCGGCAAAACAGCTCGCCGGCTGTTGGTGCATTTAAAAAACCATTTTAATTATTTATTAGCAGATTAAGCAGTAAGAAATTTCAAGAATCTGGACTGGATGGGAGAGCTGCGGCCAAGTGGATTGCTGTAATGCCCTATAAAATTTACTTTATATTTAAGATTACATTTTATAAATAGGCAAGGCTATATTTAAATTCCTTAATTTCTTTTAATTAATAATGCTCCTTAAAAGAGTAATACCAACTTCTTCTTAAAAAGCCTTTTTTATTTATAGCTCATTAGTGGTAATGGGTCTTCTATTTTCGTCTGCTGTTTTATGCTTAATGAATGGTAATTTGAGTTATGCAGCTGTGCGTACTATTCAGAGAAAAAATAAAGCAAAAATGGCTTAAAGCATTCTAAGTGATATTAAGGGTATACAAATTTATGTAACAATCTTTGGTTATTGGCATAAATGAAAACCCTGATTTGATTGACAAGATATTATGTGATACCTTCTTGTAAACTCCATATATGGCTTCTTGTAGGACAGCCAACGTTGCGAAGACTGGCCCGTGTCAATCAAGAAGGCCAAGTTCAGGTGTAATTCCAACTGCGTCTTTTGATCAGATGCTGGGTGCTCTGAGTCCGGTGCTCGTTGCTCCGACTTATGGTGCACATTACACACATTAACAAGATCATTGTCTCTCGTAATTGTTGTTGCTGCAATTAGCGTTGGTAGCACTTGATTTATGCAGCTGCCATGCAAAGTGGCAGCAGCTTCCAAGCTTCCAAGTATAGACAATGCCGCCACTCGCAATTAATCAGCACTTTGCAGTCGGCCGATCCGTACTCACCGTATCAAATATAAAAGCCGGCCTAGGGCATTGCCAACCGAGTCAGTCCCGCCGTGGAAGCAGTCGAGCACGGACTCGAAGGGATAATTAAAGAGCTCTCCAAAATGCGTACCTTAGCGGTGAGTGTATTAAATATTATATATAGAAATACAGACAACCAATATTTTATTTCCTCCCATACAGTTCTTCCTTCTAGCCACTTTGGCTATAAATTACAAGCAGGCAGCCGGTCATCTGTTGCCCGTGGCCCTTCCCTCAGCTGGAACCTATCTACTGTCTCCTCCTGGCCAAGTTCTCTTGCTGGTCCAGCCACCTCCTCCTCCTCCTCCGCCGGAGGACGATGGCTCCTACAAGCCGCCTTCGAGCGCCGAAGATGGCCTGTGGAAGCCACAGCCTGGACTGGAGGGTGAGTACCCCGGTGAGGAACTAAGCCAGAGCGGCAGTGGAAGCGTTAGTGCCGTTGATGGTGCTTTGAGTTCGGATGCCTCGGGATCTGTGGATGCCCAAGATGCCCCAGCACCGGCAGTGGTTGGAGGAGGAGCAGGAGAGGCCGGACAGGCAGGACAGGCAGGAGGAGTTCTCGGCGGAGCAGGAGGAGCAGGTGGAGCTGGAGGTGGAGGCAGTGCCGGCGGCGGTGGAGGCGGCGGAGGCGGTGGCGGCGGTGGAACAGCCACATCCGGTCAGAGCGGCGACAGTGGCCAGCCGGGAGCACCGAGTCCGTCGGGACCGCAGCCCGATGGCGAGGATGGGGCCGATGGAGCCGACGGGCCCGATGGTCCGGATGGCTCGAAGGGCGGAAAAGGCGGCAAGGGTGGCAAGGGAGCTCGCAATGGAGCCGGAGGCGGCGGAGGAGCCGGAGGAGCTGCTCCCCAGCCACCGGCACCGGGGATTCCCGTTCAGGCCGTTTTGGTTCCCGCTCCCGTTTGGCAAGATCCGGAATTGAATTTGGTGTAGGTGGAAATAGCTGTAAAGTATATATATATCAGTCTGACTCTCAATTTTTTCACATTACTTGCAGTCACGTAGGGTAGACGACCAAGGACTTTTGCTCTTTAACCCTTTCCGGTAGCCGTTTAAGTTAGTCTTAAAGCTAGTCAATGTTTTTGGATCACACATTTACCCTAAGCTAAGGCAAGCGAATATTAAAATTCGATTAAAAAGTAAAGGTGTCTGGGGTTTTATTACTTCACACATGACAGGGTCAAAGGTCTAATGGTTCAGACTCTAACCTTTTCTCCGCCGTAGTTACTCTATCTCCCAAGTGTTCTATATTTGGACTGAATAAATGTTGGAACAACATCAGAGACCGCCAATTAGAAGCAGTGTTGTACAAAAGCTTTCAAATGTCAGACCTTAGTGGTGCATAAATTATGCCTAAAAGTAGGCTCTGTAATTTACATACGCCTTTTCCTAGCCGATTTTCCAGGGAAAAATGCTAATTGCGTGTCAATCACTTCATGTTAATTTTGAGTAGGGAAAAACGTAGATATATTCCGGCTAAAAGGAAAACAGTCGAATTGATACACCTGCGCATTTACATCGTATCATGTGTGGGCTTGAAGTTCAAACCCTGAACTGAATATTCATGTGGGAAAAAGTCAAAGCCTGAGGAAACAATATCCACCTTTGGCTATCTCAGTTAAATATTCCCAAACTGTTTTCGCCCAGATGAACTTACTGTTTTCTATTTCCCACACACTTTGCTCATCTTTGCCGGTGCCAAAGAGAGCTTCTCATTACTTCGATTTTCTCGCTTTCGTGTGGCTGGCTCACTTTGTTGCACAAATTGCGCGATTCGGTGGAAATCGAATTTTCTGCGTTGCATTATGTACTTTGCAACAATGATTCTGCCTTAGCCGTGAGTGCTGGCACTATTTGTGCACATGTCTTTGAAACGGCACTCGAAGTGGGTGAATCCTTATCGCCCAGCTGCGACAAAGTATCTGAAAATGCTTATCCGCGCAAACGCTTTCGCGGATTAAAGTGGATTGCTTAGGAATTGGGAATATCTACCAAAAGATAGTTAGGAATAACGAAAAGCTTTGACATGCTTTTTTCGGAGTTTAAAGCTAGAATAAAACATTAACATTTATAAATGATTAACATTTAAATATATGTTATTTTTAATATTTTTGTAAAATGGCATTAGTATAATTTATATTTTATTTATTTCTAATTTGATTTTTCAAAATTTGTATGAATGCAAATATACCTTACCACCAAAGCTAATAGTTAGTATTATTTGTATATCGCTTTAATGCATACTTTTCTTCCAGTGCAGCAGAATATTTATAATATATTGCTCCTTTCCCATCCGACTAGCAATTCACTATTTTTTGCCCTCCTAACAATTACCAATAGTTATATTTCGACACTCCTGCCATATTGCAACATGTATTCAAATCAGATCAATTAGGCCATAAATTAACGCCTTAACCATAAATTAAATTGATGCAAAACATAAAAGCCATTTGACCAAAGATATGCAAAATGCACCTCATGCAACGCCCACAGTAAAATAAACCGAAAATAAAGACAAGAGCTGCCTGCAAGAGCGTCAGAATGCCAGGGCTAAAAATCGCTTTTGGATTGTGTTGGCTCAGAGTTTCTGTGTGTGTTTACACAACGGCTTTGTGTTGCAGCGAAAATCCAGGCCCTGGGCGCAGGGCCAAATGCCACAGCCACACAAGCTGGCCAACAAGTTCTGGCCAAAAACAAAAACAAAAACCGCAAGGGGCTTCGATTGATTTGCTCAATCGGCCGACTGGCGGGCAAATGCAAATGTAATTCTTCCACTCGGAATGAAATTTTTGAAAGCACGGAATGAGAAGTGAGTGCAAATCAACGCCGGCACTTGCAATAATATTGTTTGGCCGAAAATTAGTTGCCTGCGACTACTGGTGGCCGTTGCACATTCTCTTTTTTCGGCTGGAACACCGACGACCACTCCCCAACACTTGTGGCTCCGATTCCATTGGGGCAATACCAATCGGGGCTATTGGTCAGCTACTGGGTGCCAAAGCCAAATATTCTGAACTGCGGATAAACACAATCGCATGGCGGGTAATTCGAACAATTTTGGCTTTTATGTGCCTGGCCTGGCGTGTAATTAAATTAACTGCCGGGTCAGTAACCGGATCGAAGTCGACCAAACACACTCCAGTTTCAAGTCCCACCTGCCCCGAAGGTCGAATATTTTGGGGCTTTAAAGCCACTGTTAGTGGCCGACAATTGGTCGTAAATCGAAATGCCAATGCATGCTTAATTAAATGGCAAAGGGGAGCAATCGGGAGCCCATCCCTAAAGACGTCCCCGAATTTACGATAAGCCAAGCCTGCGCTTGTTTATGCGTGGAAAATTGAAAATCGCTGCTCGTATTTTCACCTGCTTGTCGGCCCTGCTGACCTTTGCGTGTTGGCCACCCGGACTAGGGTTGTTAATTTTTAATTAGCCACCCGGGTTCCGCCTGCGTAATAAACTAGGCCCCCTCTTTGGGCTCAAGGTCGCTGATTGGGGCCCCCAAAAGGTTGCACTTGAATTTATGGCCCCTCGGGGTTGCCATTTTGGGTGGCCTGGCGCCGCATTCAATTCCAACTTGACAAATGCCTGGCAATCTATTTACTCAAATTGTTTGCCCAGCTTCACTCTGCGCCAATAGTTCGAGTCACCCGAAGTCGAGTGACACATTCCCCCACATAAGACACACAATTTTGCAGGCGGCTGGGCAAAAAATACAAGACTCATACCGCATTGATTGATTGTTTGTTCGCTCTCAGTGTCGTGCCACATGCAGCTATCCTCTGATGGGGATACCAAAGGCCACGCCCACCACCCACCGTCCCCCGCAGGAGGCATTTCCACATCGCACACAAACACACATGTGAGGGTATGCAAATTTCAATCGTTGCATTGCAAATATTTATGTTCCTTTCAATGCAGTCACTGTGGAAACGGGTGGAAAACGGGGCTGCTGGTTTAGGTGGTTATTCTGTGGGTTGGTGGTGCGGCAGTTGACCTGTGACTGGGAATTATGAGCCGGAGTATAGAGGAAATGGAATTCCCACAGACACAGACGAACCTCGTAACAGGAAGCCCTCTTAATTAATCACTATGGACGGCAGTCCATGTAGTGACGAAGCGCACCAGGAGAGTGTGCAAAGGCGACTACTATATATACACGAAGAAATGAAAATCTGCTGTGATAGTCCGATCGTAATGAGTAATACACCAATCGAAAGGTATTGCAAAAACTTAAAGGATTGCATACCAAGACTTTAAGAAAATCAATTGGCTTGGGAGAGAGAGCGGTGAAAGTGAAAAAGCGCAAATTTCGAAATTTGGAGCTGTTGGGGCCGGTGGGGATAAATGCCCCCTCGCAATGTTTTAGTTGTGTTCTTATTGAAAATACCCGTCGAATGAGGGGTCATACGATAAAATCCGACGCTCCGTTCAAAAGTTATAGCCAAAATAAGATTTTCTTCTTCTTCCCAAAATGAAAATTTAATTCTGTTTGTCAGTTTGTCCACTTGTCCAAAATATGTTTTTTAAGTTCTGAAAATTTGATATGACGTTCATCACATCGATATAATTTTCTCAAAAACGGCTCTAACGATTTTCCTTACAACTTTAAACTGTATAGCCCTTGAGATTCCTTAAATTTTGGTATATATCATGTTTATGTAAAAAATCGCGTTTAAAAGTTATTCAGAAACGAAAATAGCCACTTTTGCCAGCTCAGAACAACTAACGCTCCCTGAGTATTGAATTTTGTGGGAGGGTATCCGAACTGTATTTTAGGGTCATGGAATCAGTAAATTTGCACTTAAGAGTTCCATATAGGAATCTTTTGTTCTACGACTTTTGGAAAAAGCCGCTACTTTAGCGGGAAAAAGCTAAAAATAGCTAAATTTCGTTAGTTTGTAAGTTCTACACTACTAAAGGTACAGACATGTGCTATACCTCGTTTAAAAGAAATTTTGAAATACTTCAACGCCTTCTTAACTTAATTTGTTAAAATACAATAGTTTAAAAATTATGATTGACCAATTTAAATTTAAATGTATATATTAGCTCCTATGAGAGCAAATGTAAACAAACAAAAACTTCTGATACCAAATAAAAACACCTCTGAACGAGGTAAAAAACTAGTGACGACCGCACCTTCAACATACAAAAGTTCTGATATCAACATTTGTGACGAAAAATTATTACACTCGTCATTAAATAGACTTTCTAATATTTTCTCATTCGGCACGCTGCAATAGAAAATGCCTGTGAAGGGAAAAAGGCTGGAATAGTTTGCTAGGGCGGGCCGAATGAGAAAATATTAGAAAGTCTATTTAATGACGAGTGTAATAATTTTTCGTCACAAATGTTGATATCAGAACTTTTGTATGTTGAAGGTGCGGTCGTCACTAGTTTTTTACCTCGTTCAGAGGTGTTTTTATTTGGTATGACAAAACAATAGGAATAACATAAAAATGTGGTATCAAAATAAAACGAAATACGGGTAAATAAATTAAATTAAAAGGAGCACAAAGAACAATCTGTGATTTAATGGGGACAAAAAATAGAGAAATAGCAACCTAATATTTATTTATGTACAGGAAACAGAAAACATTGTACCTAGAAATTTTTAGAAAGAAAATAAAAAATTTATTTTAACATTTTTAATTTATTTCTGATTAAACAAGAAAGGAAGCTAGCTTCGGCAAGCCGAAGCTTATATACCCTTGCAGATCATTCTATTAATTTACAAATCGCAAAAATGTTAAATTTCGTATTATTTCACATTAATTTTTCGATCGTTTCTATCACAGCTATATGATATAGTAGTTCGATCTTTTAAAAATTAAAATCGAAATTCGGAAATATTTCAAAATAGTCATATCCCAGAGTAGAAGGGAATGTAATAAAAACCAACAAAGATATAATTTTTTTCCCATGAATTTCCATTTAATTTTTCGACCGTTCCTATGGCAGCTATATGATATAGTAATCCGATTTAAAAAACAAAAAAACCGAAATTTAGAAATATATAAAAAAAATATTCCCAAGAGTAGAAGGTAAAATTTCAAAAAACATCGGAGCTAGAATTTTTTTACGTTTTTTTTTTTGATCCTTCCTATGGGAGCTATAAGATATAGTTGTCCGATCCGGTTGGTTCCGACATATATACTACCTGCAATAGAAATACGACTTTTACGAAAGTTTCATCCCGATAGCTTTAAAACTGAGAGACTAGTTTGCGTAGAAACGGACGGACAGACGGACGGACAGACGGACAGACGGACGGACAGACGGACATGGCTAGATCGACTCGTCTTGTGATGCTGATCAAGAATATATATACTTTATGGGGTCGGAAATGTCTCCTTCACTGCGTTGCAAACTTCTGACTGAAATCATAATACCCTCTGCAAGGGTATAATAAATGTAAATTTGCACTGTATTAAAAATGTTGTAAGCTTTTTTTAAGAAAATTTACACACAATTCCCTAAATTAATTCATTTAATTTATGGTTTTTTATTTAATAAATTAAGACCCTCATAAATATATTTCATAACTACATTTTAATACCACAAAACCCGCTCCAATTCCAAACACTTTAAAATGTGATCAAATACATTTTTGCAGTTTATTTGTCTGTTTGCAGTTTCATATAAAATATAGATCTATATCTGGTCAGATACATAAAGATTACAACAGTTATTTACAACATACTCATACAGCGTTTTCTCAATCGAAGTAACAGAATAGAATAAGAAAGGAAAGTAAGAGAAAGGCTAGTACAGAGAGATGTAAGTGGGAAGAGATGTGTGTGCTGTGACTGGGACTTCCATCCAAATCCGAATCGATCGAAACCCAGCGGGCAAGGAAGTCCTCTTTTCAAGAACTTCAATCTCCCGTGTGTAGTCGCTTTCAGTTTTCCGTGTGTTCAGGTGGCTTGTGTGTGCGTTACTCAGAGAGAGTGAAAAATAGTTGCGTTTAAAGGACAGACAGACAGATAGGAAGACAGGTGGAAAGACAGATTGGTAGTTAAAGAGTTGGGAATGCTGCTGCTTTAAAGTCGCACTGGCGTGCGTATACGCAATGCGAGGTTACGCATACGCCACGCTGGCTTCGGTAGTCGGTTAGGCAGAGTGTTTAGAGATGCTCGTCGTCGATCGGATGTCAAGTGCCGACCCCAGCCATCGCTTAGTAGTGGTCGTAGTGCGCATGGTACTGGCCATCGTCCTCGTGTCCATTGCCACCATAGTAGCCACCATGGCTGGCAGGAGCTCCGTGTCCGGCGGCAGCCACCGCATTCAGATGCGCGGCACGGGCATGCTGCACCTCTGCGGGCTCAACAGGCACTCCGTTGTGGATCACGGGGATGTGGATGGGTCCCTTGTGCGCATAGCCGGTGGCGTAGCCGCCGTGGCTGCTGTGGCTCTGCTGCTCCCAGCGTCCGTCGTAGTGGCCCTCGTCCCAGGATCCGTGCGAGGCTCCTCCGTGGGCGGAGGCCTGCGACAGGGCGGCGTAGTGGGCGGCCTTGGCGTGCTGCACCTCGGGCGTATCGACGGGCACTCCGTTGTGGATCACGGGCACATGGTAGCCACCGTGATGGCTGCTGATGGGGGCGATGGCATGTCCGGAACGGGCGGCCGCATGGGCGGCAAAGTGGGCGGCCTTGGCGTGCTGCACCTCGGGCGTCTCAACGGCAGCTCCATGGGCATGGGCCACCTGACCCAAAGCCTTGGCGTGGGCGGCATAGTGCTCAGCCTTGGCGGCCTGCACATCGGGGGTATCAACGGGCACTCCTCCGTGGGTCAGCGGCACATGGGCAGCCTGTCCGTAGGCCCAGCCTCCTCCGTAGATCGAACGCTTGTACAGATGGTGTCCGCCGGCATTGTGGGCGGCAGCGGCGTGGGCGGCGGCATGGGCGGCCTTGGCATGCTGCACCTCGGGCGTGTCTACAGGAACTCCACCATGGGTCAGCACCGGGATGTGGATGGGTCCGTGGGCGTAGGCATGGGCGTAGGGGGCATAGGAGCCGTGCGAGTGGGCAGCAGCGTAGACGGGGGCGGCGTGGGCCTGAGGAGCCTGCGGCAGGTTGGTGCCCACGGCATTGAAGCCATGATGCGGGTCAGCGGTGTACGACACCGACTGCACGTGACCATGGCCATCCACGTAGGAGTAGGAGCCGTGCGTGGTGCCGTCGTGGCCGCGCGTCTCGTGCTTCTGTGAGTTGGGATCGGCGTATCCGTAGGAGTAGGTGTGGCTGTGCGGGTCCAGGTGCTGGTACTGTGTGGAGACGGCTCCGTGCCACGAGGCGGACACCGTCGAGACCAGCAGCGCGGCGGCAATAAACTAATGGAGAGGGTAAGCAAATATTTTGGTTAAACAACACAGAGACAATTACAGGGATATCAGATGAATTTTCTTTAAATCCTTTTAAGCTTTTCACATTTATTTTTACAATTATTACTACCGAATAATAAAAAAACTAAAATGTCCTTCTTAGAAAAACAACATAATTAGATATTTGCCGTATTAAAAGTATAAAAAATCGAATTTAATTCAATCGAGTTTAATTACAATTAAAACAAGAGAGAACGCTATAGTCGGGTTGGTGTCCCGACTATCTAATACCCGTCACTCAGCTAAAGGGAGTGCGAACGCTGTACTCGGGTTGGTGTCCCGACTAATAATCGTAACTCAGCTAAAGGGAGTGCGAGGGAGATAGATATATAAATTTTGATTGCGTGTAACTTTTTAATGAATGGTCCGATTTCCAAAATGTCTTCTACATTTCGATAGGTATAAATATACACAACAAAATTGCATTTTTACTTTTCGGAAATCTTTAAAGATGTGGGCGCAGGACCCATTTTAAAATCGTTAGTGGGCGATTGTGGGCGTTAGAGGGGGCGTGGCGCTCGGCTAAAATAAACTTGCGCTGCGTAGGAAGCCAAAGAATATGTGTGGGAAATCTCAACCTTCTAGCTTTTGTAGTTGCTGAGATCTCAGCGTTCATACAGACAGACAGACGGACAGACAGACGGACAGACGGACAGACGGACAGACGGACATGGCTAGATCGACTCGGCTGGTGATCCTGATCAAGAATATATATAGTTTATAGGGTCGGAAACGCTTCCTTCTACCTGTTACATACTTTTGCACGAATCTAATATACCCTTTTACTCTACGAGTAACGGGTATAACTATTATTATAGATAATCCAGGTAAAAACTCTTTTGAATAATAATTAAAATCAGTAGCTAGTCCCTTATCGTTCACCCCTTTCTCTCTGTGTACAAAGTGTTAGGTGTGAGATTATGCCATGGTTCAGTAATTACTCTTGCGGTAGCCACCGCCTAAAATCTCTAATCGCAGGTGTCACTCACTGGGATCTTATAAGCCGCCTCTGCTAACCTAATTACAGACATCGCTTTTCTTGCGCTTGCGCCAATGTTTTCCTCTCGCTTTTCTTTGCCCACAATTCACGCCCATCTCTCCGCTTTTCTTGTGGATTCGCTTTTCCAACGCCGTGAAGCGCAACCGTTTGATTCGATTCCGAGATACTCGTTTCAGCCAATATGTATTCGTTTTGCAGATATTACCGCATGCGGCGCGATTATGTACCATATTATGTGTCAGCAGGTGAGTGGGGCAAGTGAGGCAAGTGGGGTAAGCGGGCGGCGGAAAGTGGCGGAAAAACAGTTAAATAAACTGTCCGACATGCAACATGTCAACGGCTTATCAACGGGATTTCGCACAGAATTTGATGGCAGCTGATGGTTTTCTGGGTGGTTCGCTTAGCATGACGTGCCAGCGTAATTGACTCTCGGACGAAACTGAAGGATTTATGTGTTTCGGTAGCAGCACAGGTGGCATTTTCATTTCATTTGGAGCGCAATTTAAATGAATCGAATTCGAATCGCAGATTAAATGACAGCTTAATGTGAATATAATTGACCTACGACAGATTTAAAGAATGCAAGGAATGCATTCATATTAAAAGCCATTCATTTCTAGGAAATTTATAAAACCTTGTACTTAAAAGAAATATATTTCTGTTTTGGTAAGAAGATTTAAAGATTCTAAAGATCGTTTTCTTTTTGGAATCTAATAGAAACTGTATTTATATTATCTCAGATCTCAGAAAAATATCAAATAACTATACAAATTAAATTAGTTTTTTAACCCAATATATTTACTTTGGTTCTTAAGACATTGATCTAAACTTGAGCTACTGAGATGCAAATAATAAATGAAATGCACTTAAAATAGACAAGAAAATAACAGGATAGTATTTTTGTTGATCAGACACCTAAACCGAACATCCTTTTGGTATTTTCTCAGATCTCAGATTCAACACTTGATCACTCGTATTGGTTCACATATCCTTTTGCTTTCGACGTTATCCTTTTGATCGCATGGCGTATACTTACGAATGGCTTCATCTTAGTTTAGATCACGCGATTGAGCTTCGAAAAGGAGTTTCGGGGATACACTGGGGACGAGCGGAAGTGGAAAACTATGGGTAACTACACACGACACGACACAAGCACTGGTCGCTGGACGCTGGTTGAACCTCCTAGAACCACGACTAGGACTGTTAACGAACTGTGCTGACTGCTGGCTGGCGGCCCTAATATATACCGCCCGAGACTGGCGACTGGAGACTGCGTTGCTGCAGAGCAGAGCACACAGAGACACCGAGCTGAGACGCCGGCGCATGCGCAACATTGGTAACAGCAGCAATAGCAGCAACGGCAGCAACACCAGCCAAACAACAACAGCAACACCCGCAAAACAACAGCAATATCGGCCATACAACAAAAAGCAACGAGAGCAAGAGCAGAACAATGTAATCGTATTACCACTTTAATCGCGGCTCGAAGCGGGTTTTGGCCAAAGCCGAAGTGGATATCGAAGCCGCGGCCGAAGAATGTGTATCAATTGCTTTTTGCAGCAGCATGTTGCTGGCGTGCAGCTGCACCGGCAACATGTTGCTCGTGTGCGTTTCCTTCGCTGCGTTTGCCGTTTGTCACTGCGAAAAAAAAGCAGCTGCCATGACCTTGCTTTCAAAGCGTTATAATTGCCGGTTGGAAACTAAACTCAAGCTCAAGCGATTGATGGTTTTTTTATTTGGGGGGGCTACCTCTTTGACTTCCGCGCTGCGGACAATTAGCACTCATTATTTGGTCACGGGATTAGGCCGATCTTATCGATCGGTGCCTTTCCAAAAAACGCCCAAGAGACCCGCCCCAAGCTGGCCGGCGATCAAATTAAAAAATTCTTAAGCCGCCGCTCTCGCAGGTTGCAACATGCCCATGCCCCAACGGGGGCCATAACGAAATGTGAGCTGTGAGCTGGCCAATTTCTGGGCGTTTGCCTCTTTAATCATTGAACTGCATCGGAAAACGAAACGAAAACTTTGCAAATTAAAAATAAAAACAAGAGCACGGCCCAAAGAAGCCAGGGGAAAACAAAAGACAGAAAAATGGATTTTCTATGCCGCTGCTGTTGCCACATGTTGCAGCATTTCTTTGCAGTCCGCTAATCTAGATGTTGCACTCACAAGCACACTCGAAAAATAAATCTTATAAATGGCAAAAACTTAAGAATATCATTCAATTTAGAAAACCACTTTAAATCATAGGTACCCTTATTTAGTCTTTTATGAAAAGGTTTCCATTGAAACCACTTCATATACTTTAGTTTGAAATAAATATTTTCCGTGTTAAAATTCATTTAATAAATAAATAAATCTTAGTTTTAATAGGAAACAAAGTTTCTTAAAATAAAAAAACTAAGGATCAGGGTTAAACGAGAGTGTAATTACTTAAATGTTTTCATGTCACATGATAATAATTTTAATTTGATCGGTTTTCTGTGAATTTTCGATATGTGTAGGTTTTATAAAAATTTAAAACATAGTTATTGTTTAAAAGCAAATATTCCATATTTTCCCTAAGTGCAGCGTTGCAATATAATGAGTGCTTGCACTCTGACTGCCTTCGATTATTTGCATTCGATAAGCGAAATCGGGAGAGCGGGTGGCTCTATAGCTGTGGCACACTCCATATTCTGGGACTCGTACTCGTACTCGTATCGGCAACTTAATTTGTTTGCCTTCGCCTGCCGCCAATTTAATTTGAATAAACCAAATGCAAACTGCTCTTTTGAACTCGCATGTGTTTTTTGCGCGGGCGGGCGATCATTTTGGGGCGTGTTTGACATTTTTACGGTATGCGCAACATTATAAATTATATTCCCGGTGCCACTTTTGTTTTCATTTTATTAGCTCGGCCCACTGTCGACAGCTGTGGGCTGTCTAGCTGGCTGGCTGACTGGCTCAAGTGCAATCCACACATTTGTGGACTGTCGGGGTGCCCACCTTCAGCCAGTGCAGCTCAGTTCAGTTCAGTTCCAACCCAATCCAGCTCCATTTGCGAGCGTAATTATTGTCTTGGCTTTCCATCCGAACACTCTATGTGCTCGGGTGTCGGGCACATAAATTCTGATTGGTATCTGGGCGAAAATTAACTAATTACCTGGTAATAACACGTATTATGCAATCAGAATCAATTTATCTAAATGCATTTCTAATCTAAAGCGGCCAAGCTTGAGTGTATTTTAAAATGTGCGCTATTAAGCACATCAAATTTATGTGGTAGGAAATCGAAATCATAAGTAAATCAGTCAATAAAAGATAAATGGCTTCGGTAAAGAGTAAAACACAAAGCTTTGCATCATAATATCCAAGTATTAGATTACAAGAATAAAGGTTCAAATTTACTGATTAATAAATATGAATGAATCGTAAAAAAAACGTTAAAAAATCGAATAAATAAAATCCTTCAAAGTTTTAACTTTGTTTTTATATTTATAAGCAGAGACTTATTTTTTCAGTGATTGCCTCTTTAAGCTTACTCATTGTTTGTTCAGCACGTACCAATGCCAAACTGTCTTTCGGCGGAAAACAATATTCAAAGAACTGTAACTTTGAACCACTTAAGAGCCCCCCAGAATTCTCAGTTTCCACATTCATTGCAGATTTTTAGATTCGTAGGAAATGTCTTACAATTGCAAGTCGCAAAAAAAGTACCTCAAGAGGGCGTGGGTTGGACAGAACCTCCTTCGTTTTCTGCAGTTCCTAACTTGTTGCCTTTTCATCAATTTGAATATATGCAAATAGAGCCTGGATGCAAAGATATTTTTCGATAAATTGCCTGGTCGGTTTCAGCTCTTACTTAATTGCTGTTACTTACAGTTATGGGCAGGAAAAGAACATTTGCATCTGCATAGAATTACCTACGTGTGGGCAGGTGTTGGCTCTGCAATCATTTTTGTTCCGATTGAATATTTACACATTGCTAAATCATGTTCAATTAATTGAACTAGCTGTTAAACAACATAATTAAGATGGATAGCGGGTGGTGGTGGTCACTAGCTTAGTGGCCGACCACTTGCGACCCAGCAGGCCATTAGGCAAATGAAGCGTGGTCTGCTTCTAGTGGCAGCAATTAATTGTAATTAATATTTAAAATTCTGCCCGCAAGACAATAAAATTCTCCGTGGCGTGACGCAACAGAAACTGGCTTGGCCAACAGCAATTGCAATCGGAATTAGCATGGCAACACCATCGGCGATGCCTTCTAACCTGGCCACGCATCACTGAGCCAAAAAACAGTGGATTTGGAGTCGAAAAAATTATTTAACCATTTAATTGGCATCTCTCAAATCACTTAGGAAATTACCAACACTTAAATAGTCAAGTTGGAAACTAAAATAATGGTTAAAAATATTATTTCTTAGAGCTTTGCGTTATTAAAAACTATTAAAATATGAAATGTTCATAGCAAAGGTTCCCAGTTTTCAATAAGAATTTCTCGATATTATTTTTTCAAAAATCAATTACTCTTCTTATACTAATTCTGCTATTTTATACCATCGTACTCTTTTGGCATTGAAATTCTTTGCCCAGTTGGTTTGGCTATGACTGCTGGCCATTCATTCAGACGGTCTGCCCTGCTTTGCCCAGCGAGGCAGTGAAGCGTTGAGTGACTTTTGGCCAGGCGGATGCAATCGGCAATCGGTGCGCTCGCGGGTGTAAAAGCCACCTCCTGGGAATGGCTAATTGAAGGCAATGGCAAAAAAAGCAATCGCATTTGTCGATTTCATTCTTTGCTTCATTTTTGTGCTTTTTGTTCTTACACAAAACTGTTGCTTCGAATATTTGTGGTGAATTAAAAATGTTAATTGCTTCGCCAGTTGTTGGTCGTAAGACAAATAAGTTTATGGTGCGAGAAGCGAGCATTTCTCGGCTACAGGGTGTTAAGATAGGTTTACTTGTTATAAGTTAGCCCAACTAGAATTTTCCTCTATACGAATCTCGATAGCACCCTGTTTGCCGCCATTCAAGAATTAATTCAATGTGCTAAGCGTGCAAAGCTTAAATAAATCATTAAAATTTATGAATTTAATTGGCTTCAATTATTGCCACAGATAAAATGTAAGGCAAAGCAGCAACAGCTCTAATCGAATCGGATTGAATCGCTAGCCATGATCGGGTAGTTATACACTCTTTGGATCGTGTTGAGTGGTGGTCGATTCAATTCAATTTGATTTCATGAACAGGGGCCACCCTAACGTGGAATTACGAAAATTATAACCAGGGACCTGGACCAACATATTATTAGGGTGTAGCTGTCGAATGAACCGGGGCCAAGGGGCCGCCCAAAGGGGGCGTAGCTCGAAATCTATAGGTATCCGTATCTGTAACTGAATCTGCATTTGTATCTGTATGTGTATCTGCAGTTTGTCACATGGCGGGCCAAGCTAATTGGCAGAATGCTGTTGGGGGTTAACCAACCCAGAGTTGCGGGCGTAGCTGGCGGAAAATTAAATTGCAAATTTCTCAGTTGATTGATTGGCAACGGGGCAGAGCTTTGGGATGCCGCTGCTGGGTGCTAAATATATTTACTGGGTGCAGTTGCGCAGATTCATATTCCTAGATGGCCGGCGTGGGTTCTCGGTTTTGGTATCGGTATCGGTGTAGTGCGATCTAATGGCCCAGTTCGAAACTGGTCAAAGGCAGGCATCCAGCCATAAGCAATTTGACACGCCACAGAAACGGGTTTCTGTTCACTTGCAACATCTGGGTTACTAGCGAGTGGTTGGTTCACCAGCTGGGCGCCACCACCGCCTCTCCTTCGCTGCTCCGTGGTGGCCACTCCCACTCACTCAACGCCGGATTCCTGCAGTTGACACACACGTGTGTCCTGGCCCAAAATGTCGCACAATCACGAATGGCCATTTGCGCGCCGTTCTGGGGGCCCACCAATTTAACATTTCCATTTGCTAGCAACGCAAATCCGCCATCCGCCATCGTCATCCCGCAACCTGGCCATAAAGTGCGCCCAAGCGAATGGCCAACATTTTTGGAGGCGCACCCGCCAATCTGGCCGAAAAGCAAAATTCCGCAGCTAACCCACATGCATAAAACGAGACCTTAAAACTCCAAAATCCAAAGCTGACCACCCAGAAGCGGCACAAAAACCTGGCTACGTGCGGAGTCGGCGGGGTGAGCATAAAGTTGGCCAACAA